TGTGCTCTGCTCATTTCTCACATGGTAAGTTAAGAGCAACAAAGTTATTCTGGGGTTGGAAAACTGGGAAAGATGAAAAATAATTTCCCTTTCCCTGTTCTTATCCCTATCCCTGACCCCAGTCTTTTTGTTTTCCCATCTCAAGATAAAGAAAAGAGAAGGTATGTCTTACAAAAATTTTTAAAATACCAAAATGGAATTTTGAGAAGGTTTTTAGAGAGACTACCCTTTACAGAGGTGGGTGATGAGAATCATTGGTGGACTTCTAATGCACATGCAGATTTTATCTTTAGCATGTATTTTTACAAAATACTTCATTTATGTTTATTACCATCAATCTCTAACCTCACATCCCATGCTCCTCCCAGCATTACTTAATCTGCATTTTCCCTTATTGTGATCCTATTATAATTCTAAGACAAGATTTTTTGAAAGCATGTACATTTTTCTCATAGAAAACTAACTCAGTGGAAGACATACAGGAGTCAGTAATAGAGCTTTGTAAGGAGGATTATTCAATTATTCTAAATACTAAGTATTGTACAGCAGTGAAAAGTAGTGTTTTCCATATTTAGCTTAGTGACTTTTTACTGAGCATCAACCATGTTGAAGGCATTATTGTAGGCAACATTCAGAATGAAAATGTTTTATCTTCAGTCACTGGTGAGCAGCAGTAGGAGCTAAATAATTCCTATCTTTGTTTCCTCAAATATCACTTAAGAACATAATTATGTGCCGTGGCTAGGGAGTAGGGAGCCAAGGATGAGCAATGTAGCCCTGGATCCTATCTTCAGGAACCCTCAAGATGGGGAGATAAACAGTTAAGGCAATTTTATTAAAATTTTATTTTAAAAAAATGAGAAGAAAACCCAAACAATTCTAAATAATACAAGTTAATAGTATTTAAAGCTAACAACTGTCAGCAAACTTTGTTAGAGGTGATTCTAGTTATCTATTGCTACATAACAAACCACCCTAAGACTTAGTGGCTTAAAAGAGCATTTATTATTATCTTCACTGTTCTGTGGGTTAACAGCTGGGCACTTCTTGCTTTAGGTCTCTCATGAACTTGCAGTCACCTAATGACTGGGACTGGAATATCTGAAGGCCTGATTGGGATGGGTGCTCAATATGGCTGGCAGTTAATATCTGGCAGTCAACTGGGATCTCAGCTGGAGCTATCAATTGAAACATTTGCCAAGGCCTATACCTGTGGCTTGAGTTTCTTACAGAATGGTGGCTGGGATCCCAGAGGGAGCATCCTAAGAGCAGATGTTCTAAGAGATATAGGTGTATTCTATATAGCTTTTTATGAACTATACATCTCAGAATATCACTTGTACTACATTCTGTGGGTCAAGCAAGTCACTGGGGTCAGCCCACATTTAAGAGGAGGGTTATTAAACTTCACCTCTTGATGGGAAGTGGCAAGGTCACTTCATAGAAGAGCATGTGGAAAGGGAGTTAGGGGCGCCTGGGTGGCTCAGTCGGTTAAGTGTCTGCCTTTGGCTTGGGTCATGATCCCGGCGTCTTGGGATCGAGCCCCGCATCGGGCTCTGTGCTCAGTGGGGAGCCTGCTTCTCCTTCTCCCTCTACCTGCCTGTCTGTCTACTTGTGATCTCTCTCTCTCTGTCAAATAAAATCTTTAGGGAAAAAAAAGGGAGTTGTTATTGTGGTTATCTTTGGAATATATAATTTGCCACAGAGGCCTGCTCTGTAAGTATTGAATGAGAACTTTGACCTAGATAACAAAACAATGAATATATCATGAGAACAAAACCGTGAATTTTAGTAAACAAAATAGTAAATTCCATTTTTGATACTTGAGATACACAGTCATTAAGAACTTGAATGGCGGGGCGCCTGGGTGGCTCAGTTGGTGAAGCGACTGCCTTCGGCTCAGGTCATGATCCTGGAGTCCCGGGATCGAGTCCCACATTGGACTTCCTGCTCGGCAGGGAGTCTGCTTCGTCCTCTGACCCTATCCCCTCTCAGGTGTTCTCTCTCTCTCAAATAAATAAATAAAATCTTTAAAAAAAAAAAAAAAAGAACTTGAATGGCAAAATGTGATGTAAGGGTCCTTTACTACTTTCATCTGACATTTATTTATGACTTTTTGCATAGAAAATTGTTATTCTGTGTTGAGAGAGTTCTACCCATTTGTAGATATTTGTAAATAAGAATAGCTAACATGTAAAAACTGTTGGGTAGTTATAAAGACTTAGTTTCATCGTGACCTTTCATGGTTTTGTTTTATATACATGATGTGGTAAAATGTAGCTTATGAAAATTCATAAAAGCCAAAGTGAAAATGACGGCATAACATTAGTTAATGAAAGCGTTATCAGCAGAGTTACTTGCTACTTGGTGAATATTTTTTTCACAGTGCCATTGTAATTTACATGGAGATGGTGATTCAGTGTGACAGTTTTGGTAACCAAACTGGATTAATCATAAGGGTCGGTATCCTTTAGCACTGATATAAACACATGGCCCTCTATGTAGAGGGTTCTTGCTTTCTGGGTACTTTTCCAATAAGATGAATGAGCAAGAATGAAAAGTTTTATTAAATCATTGTTCGAACAAAGGAGTGATTGTTGATGAAATTCATTTAAAGAATATATCCTTTCCAGAATTGTCTTAAGAGCTTCACGTTCTGCATTCTGTTTTCTGTGGGAACCTAGAAAAGTCTGAATTGCAAAAGAAAGCACAGTAGCATGACTCTGTGATAATTGTGTCTGAAGATTAAGGAGGGTTCACGCCTTAATTTTCATTTACTTTTGAGCATGAGGTAGCTTAATTTTAGTAGTTGTAACTTCACATGGAAACCAAATGACTGAGAGTGGTATGATGGGAGACAGAGTAGAGAGGATTCGATAGAAAAGAGGCCCCTCTTAAAGCTCTGCTGAAGCCCACAGTAGTTTGTTGAGGTGGATTGGAATAATACTTGTGAATAATGAAATTGACTTTGATGCTTTAGTTCATCAGAACTGATATATGCCAAGGCAGCTGTGTACGTTCCGAAAAGTCTGTTTTCTGGTTGGTCTGTGATTTGAGAAAAAGTCTTTAGAAGCCACAGCCACATGAAAGTACAGGTATCCTCTGCTTCTGGAAGGTTTGTGTTACGCCACTTCACTCTTACTGAAGGACCTACACTAGTACCTGTTTACCCTAACTAAAAGAAATTTGAAGGGAATCTTCACTTTTACAAAAAAAGGCCAGAAGTGAAAATGGTTTCAGTTTTTCTTTGAGCTGTTTTAGAGGTAGCCCACACCTGGGGCAGCAAGAGTAGCGTCGCCCAGCTCCCCGTGGGGAACTACACTCGGCATCTCTGCATCAAGCCACCATAGCTTTGAACTGTGTCTGTGAGCGTCTGCTTTATCTTGACTTACTCTGTGCATCCATTAGCAAGATGTGTCCTAAGGTATCAGAAAAGCCTAAGAGAGGTTATGTTTGGGGTCTGAGAATGCTAAAAACATTTTCCTTATAAATTGTAATTGCTTCTTCCCTTTAGGCCGTTTAGGCTTATACAAGTCTTTACAGGAATGCTCTACTTTTATATAGTTGGAAAATTCTGTGCTGCCTCTTTTTTTCTCACCTTTTTTCTGAACTACATGTCTCAGATGTGACTATACATGTAGTTTGTCTTGGATAATCTCACTTTATGCCTACTGTTCCTGAACTTTGCCCAGTTAGCATCCCTTTCACTCTCAAAAAGGTACTTGTATAGTTGATAAATTATACAGTCTCTATAGTCCACTTGTGTTTTTTCATTGAGAGGATAATAGCCATAGTATACTTATTTTAAATTCACTTATAAAAAAAAAAAGGAAGCCAAGGTATGGGTACCAGGTGAGCTCACTAGTACCAAAGCTAGTAAACATAGTACATGCATATACATATATGAATATATTCTATTTACATGAATATTTTTGTGTTTACTTTTATATTGAAAGCCATAGGTTTATATTAAAAAATAACTCTTAAGCCTTTTTAAAAACAGTATTTTAGCCATAATTTTTCATTAAATTGTAAGATTTAATAATCAAATGTGTATATATTATTTCACTTTCACTTTTGTGTTTTACTCACTATATTCCTCAGTACTTATAAGCATTCTAATTGGCTTTTTATGACATTATCCTTTTTATGGTGCAATAGCCAAGATTGTTTTGGTGCCAGAGATACTTTTGCTTTGGTTTTTGAAATTGGCTGTGGTAAAACATTCAAACAATATACAAATATATAAAATAAAAAGTAAGGGTTGAATTTCAAAGCCCTTTCCTACTTCCCTTTCCAAAAGTCATCAGAATTTAGAGTGCTTTCTTTAAAAAAATGAAAGTGGTTTATAAACAATATATCAGAAATTTAATTTAAGCAAGTATAGAGGATTATTTTCTAATAAGTTCATTTTCTGAGCTGAATCATCTTTGGATCATTATTTTTTAATGGTTTTAATTTTAGCATTCAGATAATCCCTTTTATATTTCGCCTTTACTGGTGCTTGAAATTATAATTTTGTGTTTTTATATGTCGGCATGATTTTCACAACTGCAGAAATTAGCATGGGGTCACAGATTCTGGCTCCTAAAACAAGTCCTACTATGAAAAAGGCAAAATTTAGGGGCACCTGGGTGGCTCAGTCAGTTAAGCGTCTGCCTTCGGCTCAGGTCATGATCTCAGGGTCCTGGGATCGAGCCCCACATCGGGCTCCCTGCTCAGCAGAAAGCCTGCTTCTCTCTCTGCCTCTGCCTCTCTGCCTGCTTGTGCTCTCTCTCTCAAATAAATAAATAAAATCTTAAAAAAAAAAAAAGGCAAAATTTAAATAATAGTGCTACAGTATATTAATTCTTTAGATTAATAATGTTGCTGTCAGATAACTTTTTTTTCTTTTAAGTAGGCTCCATACCCAGTGTGGAGCCCAGTGTGGGGCTTGAACTCATGACGTGGAGATCAAGACCTGAGCTGAGATCAAGAGTCAGATACTTAACCGACTGAGCTATCCAGGTGCCCCTCAGGTAGTATTAAGGTCATAGAAAATCAAGAGAAAAAGAACTTCAGAATCATAAGAGATGAATGTTTGACATATTACAATAGGTATTCAATAAATATAATTAAAATTTTTTTCTCTTTTCTCCGTGCTTTTTAGGAGTAAAGCTTCCAGCAGTCAGTGAAACATTCTTAGAAACAGAAATCCTTTTTTATTTTAATTTTTCCCTATTAAAAATGACTTTTAAAAATTTATCACAGTGGGCTTTTAAATTTTTTTTTATTTTTAAAGATTTTATGTAGTTGACAGAGACACAGCAAGAGAGGGAACACAAGCAGGGGGAGTGGGAGAGGGAGAAGCAAGCTTCCCGTGGAGCAGGGATCCTGACATGGGGCTTGATCCCAGGACCCTGGTATCATGACCTGAGCCGAAGGCAGACGTTTAACGACTGAGCCACCCAGGTGCCCCTATCACAGTGTTTAGTAATTGTATTCCAGTTCTTAAAGACATTATTTATTTATTTATTTTTTAAAGATTTTATTTATTTGACAGAGAGGGACACAGCGAGAGAGGGAACACAAGCAGGGGGAGCGAGAGAGGGAGAAGCAGGCTTCCCGCTGAGCAGGAACCCCGATGTGGGGCTCGATCCCAGGACCCTGGGATCATGACCTTAGCCGAAGGCAGATGCTTAACGACTGAGCCACCCAGGCACCCCAACATTTTTTAGGGTAATTATTCTTACTGGCCAATTTCTTCAGGGCCCATTGTCGTTAAATCCCTTGATAAGGGTTTTTCTTTAGTGTATGTTTTCACTATCTATTTCCAAAACTCGCTCATCATCCCAAACAGAAACTCTGTGTGCATTAAATAATAACTTCTCGTTTCCCCCTCTTCCTTGCCACTGGTGAGTTTTACTTGTCAAGGCCAAATTCCATGAATTTGCCTGTTTTAGGGACCTCATATAAATGGAATCATACAATATTTATCCTTCTGATAATGTTTTATAATATTAAGTAAAACAAACGCCATTTCAATCTAATGAATTAATATTTTGAGGCCATCATCCTTTGAGTTCTATGAATAGCTCCCACCTTCCATCATCGAAGTTCATTGTAAGACAGTTCTGTGGTCAGAAGATAGAGTATTTAGACTCAGCCACACCTGGGTTGGAATCTTGTTTGTACCACTTACTATCTGCTTAGGTATCATGGACAAGGAATTGAACAACTATAAGACTCCAGTTTACTGTGAATGTTTTGAAAATTGAATGAGTTCCTTATGTAAAATTTTGAGATCCTGAACACATAGATGTTCCATAGGTTGTAGTTACTTGCTGTTACTATTACTGCTAATTATATAGCATCCCCATGAAATACAGGTTTACCACATATATGGCCTGGTATTAAAAAATGTTTTACTAATAAATGACTTATTCACAATAAAATGCATTCCTTGTAAGTATACAGTTTGATGATTTGATGCGATTGACATATATACTATAAGCATTACTTCAGTCACGAAAGAGAGCATTTAATCACTTCCTAAAGTTCCTGCTGTCCTAAGCAATTACTGATCTGCTTTATGTCATTATAGATTAAACTTTCCTTTCCTAAAATTTCATAAAATGAATTTGTATAGTATGTAATCTTGTATCTAGTGTAGAATATGTTTTGGAGCTAAGTCCAAGTTTTTATGTATATCACTACTTCTATTTATTTCCAAGGGACAGTCCATTGTATGAATATATTACAATTTTTTTATCCATTTATCTGTTGAGGAACATTTGCATTACTTAATATTATAAAACACTATCAAAAGGATAAATATTGTAGGATTCCATTTAGCTATTATGAAGAGAACCACTATGAACGTTCTTATACAGAATACTTGATAGTGTGCTTTCATTTAGTTAGGTGAAATTATGTTTCTTTGATTTCATTTGATGTAAGAATTATTTAGATTTGTGTGTAATCTCTAAACATTTGGGAATTTTCCTGCAATCATTTTGTTACTAATTTGTAGTTTAGTTCTCTTGTGGTCAAAGAACATATTTTGTATGGTTTTAAGTTTGTTATCATTTGTTTTATAGTCTAGAATGTGATCTATCTTGGTGAATTTTCTATAGACTTGAAAACTGTGTTATCTGCCATGTGTGAGTAGAATGTTCAGTAGGTCCAGATAGGTGGTAGTGTTTAGTTATTCCATATCCATAATTTTTGTTTGTTTTACTTATACTGTCAAATTATTGAGAGGGGAGTATGTTGAAGTTCTAGATGATTTGTCAGTTTTTCCTTTCATTTCTATCCAAGTTTCTTTTATATATTTTGAAATTCTCTTATGCACTTAGAATTGTTAATGTTTTCCTTAGAGAAGTAACCCTTTCATTATTATGAAATGTCCCTTTTTATCTTGTTTGAAATTGTTGAAGCCACTTGACTTTCTTTTGATTAATGTTGATATGTCTTTTCCTGTCTTGTTTCTTTTAATCTATTAGATTATCTATCTATAAGATAAACTATCTATAACTATAGAAAATAGATTTTCTTATAGTTTATAGTTGGCATATACTTGTTTCTTGTTTTTTTATCCAATTTGACAGTCTCTGCCTAGTAATTGGAGTGTTGAGACTACATTTAATGTAATTATTGATATGGTTGGATTTAAAGCTTCCATTTTGCTAGTAGTTTTCAATTATGTTTTATCTCTGTTCCTTTTTTTCCTCCAGTTTTCTTTCTTTTCAATTACTTTTTTATGATTACGTTTTATCTCCATTTTGGGCTAATAACCTATGGGTCAAAGAGGAAATCACAACAGCAGTTGGAAAGTATTTTCAGTGAAATGAAAGTGAAAATGAAATATATCAACACTTGTAGGATGTAGCTACAGCAATCCATAGAAGTAAATTTATATCATTAAATGCTTATATTAGAAGAAGAAATCTCTCAAGTCGGTGATCTAAGTTTTTATCTTAATAAACAAGAAGAACAAACTTAAAGGAAGCAAAAGAAAAGAAAGGAAAATAAGAGCAGAGATTAATGAAATTGAAAAGAGAAAAACAGTAGAGAAAGTTCAAAAGTAGAGCTGGTTCTTTAAAGAAAAGTCAAGTGGAATTTATCCCAGACATGACAAGCTTGGTTCACCACTTGAAAATAAATCAGTGTAATTCACCATCTCATCAGACTAAAGAAAAAACCCCATAGAATCATCTCAATAAATGTGGAAAGTTCCTTTGAAAAAAATCAGTATACATTTGTAACAAAATCTTCCATTAATTTAAGAACTAAAGGTAATTTCCTCAACCTGTTAAAGGACATCTACAAAAAATTTGTATATTTAGCATAATGGTACTTGTTTGGTACAATTCACTAGTGAAGCCATCTGGGCTCAGAATTTTCTTTGTTGGAACTCACTTTATGAGGCCTGCAATAGGTCAATAACAAAAATAAAGAATGGAAAACCATAGACTAGTTATGTACAAAGGTACAGAAATCCTTAATTATACTGTAATCAAGCCCAATAATCTTTAAAAAGGATAATGTATTATGACCAACTGTGGTTATTTAGAACTTGGAGACTTTCCAGTTTTCTTCATATTACTCATTTATAGTATAATTTTATCATGGTCTAACAACATAGCATGTATCATTTCAGTTTTTTAAAAAATTAAGTTTTTTTAATGGTTCAACATATGGTCTTTCTTGGTAAATAATCTGTATGTACTGGAAATGATATATATTCTGCTATGGTAGAGTAGAGTGTTCCCAAACCTATTTTTCTGTTTAATTGTTTTATCAATTTCTAACAAAGGAATGAAATCTCCAACTAAATTGTGGATTTGTCTCTCTTCAGTTTTATTAGTTTTTGCTTCATGTATTTTGAAGCTTTGTTTTTAGATAAGATTTACACATCTTGGTCTATTATGTCTCCTTGGAGAATTGATCCCTTTATCATTTTGTAATTTTATTCTATATCCCTGGTAATGTGGCTTGTTTTGAAGTGCAGTTTGCCTGATACTAATATAGCTACCCCAGCTTTCTTGTGGTTTATGTTTGCTTAGTATATCTTTCTTTCCTCCATTCTTTCACTTTTAAGTTACATATGTCTTTATATTTAAACAGTTTCTTGTAGGGAGCATTTAGGTAGGTTCTGCTTTTTTTTTTTTAAATAAAGATTTTATTTGAGAGAGAGAGCTAGAGAGAGAGAGCGCGCACACACAGAGGGATAGAGAGAAGCTGACTCCCCGCTGAGCAAGAAGCGCCCAGGATCCTGGGATCATGACCTGAGCCAAAGGCAGACTTTTAAATGACTGAGCCACCCAGGCACCCCCAGTCCTGTTTTTTTAATCCAGTCTAGCAATCTTTCTTACTTGATGTGTTTGGACCATTTTCATTTAATATAACTGTTGATATGGTTGGATTAAAATGTTAAAACTTGCCATTTTTCTAGATGATATGTTTCTTCTGTTGAACTTTTGTTTATTGTCTTATATATCAATTGAATATTTTTTGTGATTTTTTAAAATTTCCATTTCTCTTTTAAAAATGTATTTAGTGATGGTTCTATATTAAATTTTTTTTGTCTTTTTTTCCTCTGTACTTAAATTCATGTACTTCAAGCATGTCTTCAAGTTTACTGATCTTTTATTCTTATCTGATTAATTCTTTTTAAAAACATTTTTCATTTCCAGAAGTATTTTCTTTTTTTAAGCTTTATCCTTTTTACACCATTTCTTTCCTCATTATGTTGATGATTTGTTGTACATCCTTGAGTATACTTAGATTAGCTTATACAGAGTCTTTGATTGCTAATTCGTTATCTCATTTCTTCATTTTCAGTTGACTGAATTTTCTCCTAGTTGTGTGTTGTATCATATCTAATAATTTTTGACTGAATGTTTAGTGTCATGAATTTTATATCAAGTACCAGGTTTTGTTGTTGTTAAAGAGTATTAGACTTTATTCTCTCTGAACATATGTTACATTTGGATCAACTTTATCCTTCTGTGGCTTGTTTTTAGGTAGTTATAGGATGGATTTAGAGTAGTCTTTTCGACAGTTCAGTCCCAATACCAAGTCCTAAACTCTTGTGTATCCACAGGATGCTCTATATATTTAACAAGGACTTTCCATTTTGATACAAACTCTGACAACTCTGTGAGCTTTGGGAACTCTTCAGCATACAGCTCGCAGTCACTTTTTGCTCAGCCTTAGGAGGTTTTAATCTATGCATGTGTGGTTCTTTCCACAGTAGACCTAAGTGGACTCCTTTGCAAGTATCCAGGACTATTTCTTCATATAGCTCCTTCTACTCTGTCTTGCAAATTCTAGCTTCCTCAGCCTCCCTGCATTCTGATTTCTTTCCCTTCAACTCAGTGAGATTACTATTCTCTTCTTGGGATCACCATCTCTGCACCAGGATCCAGAAACTGCCTTTAGGCAGAAAGTCTGTACTGGTATCTGGAAAGTGCCTCTGAGTGGAAAGTTGAGGCAAATGTCTGGCTTATCTAATTATATTCCTTCTTAGAGATTATTCAGCACTGCCTGTGGCCTAATGTCCCAAACAGTGACCTGAGTGTATACTTCAAATATATTTTTCCAGTTTTCTCATTGTTTATAGCAAGAGTATAAGTCTAGTTCCAATTATTCCATCATGACTGGAAGTGGAAATTTTGGTCTGTCATTTCATTTTCAGAACTTTTTTTCATCCAGGATTAGTGTGAAATGCCTAATCTATGATTGCTAAGGAAGAGAGCCTGTTAATTTTATTTGAAAAATTTAAAGGAACTTGTTAGTGTACTGTTCATTTGTGTCATTAATAAAAATTAAACTACCGTAGTCTACCTTTTGTATAGTAGTCTATTGCCTATTATAGTTAAGGGGGGAAAAACCTGGATATACTACTAATTGATTGTTACATTTCTCATTTTTTAGACCTAAAGATTGTCTTCGGTCTATTATGAGGAGGGTGAACCATAAAGATCCTCATGTTGCTATGCAAGCTCTGACTGTAAGTGATTGCATTTTAAGTTTTACCACAAAACTATCTGCTAAAATTGAGCCCTTATTTTAACTTGTGATTTTATACTTTTAGCTTCTAGGAGCATGTGTATCAAACTGTGGCAAAATTTTTCATTTAGAAGTATGTTCAAGAGATTTTGCTAGTGAGGTGAGCAACGTACTAAACAAGGTAAGGAACATTATTTCCAGAAATGAATTAACACAGTCTTCTTTGTGTATTTTAATGTTCGGTTTTTCACGTTTTAAATCACAAAGGACTGGTTTGTGCTTTGCTTTTTTTTATAATCCTTCCTAGGCTCTGTCTATCCAGTATGTAAGTAAAGTAAATGTTTTGCTGAAGAGACTATAAATTTATATACTTGGAGAATTTTTTTTTTTTTTTTTAAGCCAGGTTAGAGTATATTTAACCTGTTTTCTTGATCATTCCTTTCATCTAATAAGAAAATACATGTATTTCTCCATCTGGTTAATTAATACCAGTCTGTTATAGGCACAGTTTTTGTAACCATTTGTGTAGCCACTGAGGTATTTTCCCAATGTAGAACAGAAATACTGCCAAAATATGACACTGTTTTCATTGTGACATGAGTAAGGCCACTACCTGACCATGGCAGGATTTTAATGCTATGCTTTTTATTTAACTGAATGTAGAATAAAGAATACAATTTATGCAATTCAAGGAATTAAAAAAAATCAAGTTACTAAGTAATGTATGAGTTTTCCCAGTAAAAATTTGTGCATTCTACAGGTAATTATTTCTGACTCTTGGGAGGAGGGAGGATGGGATATCATATAATCAAGAAAAATTTTAAGATGTTAAAAGGGAAAATGCCTCATGTTTTTTGGGAAAATGATTATTTCCAGGTTTTAGTAGGAAACAGTACAGAAATGAGATAATTTACATAATTCTTTACAGAATTTCTGTATTTCCTTGTCAAGCATGATTATGGTTCTTTTCCTGTTTTGCGCTATTCAGTTACATTTAGGTATTTTCTACTAGTTAATAATCATTCTTTTAATGTCCTGAATGTCCATCAAAATGTATGACTGTTTATGAAGAGATTTTAGTATAATGTTTTCTGTAATTTAGTTGAAAATGAGATATTCAAACTTGTATTTAGTAGCACAAACAACTGTTTTGAAAAGCAAACAGCTACACATAAGAGAAAGGACTTCTTCATTTTCCAAATGTTTTACAGTGAACAGAGTGATTTTTATACTTGAGGGGGAGATGTTATTTTGAAGAAATGAAGTTTCTAGAAATATTGACATACAGTGGGCCTCAAACCAGGCCTCGGATAATTAAACAACTTGGAAAAAATACACAGTCAAGCATATTTTTAAAAGTCAGAGATTAGGAATAAAGGAATTGTATCATTTATTTTCTCTTTTCCAACTTATTTTTTATTGGTCTGCAAATAACCAACACAAAACAGAGTACTTTTCTGTGTCTTCCTGATGTAGAAAGCTCACTTAGTTGCAAAGTACTCTGAAAATTTCCATCTCTCTGACCTCCAAAATAAGTTATTACATACTTAATCTGTTTTAATTGGTATGAGGTATGTATGTTGGTATCATCTATTGTTTTTTCATAGTGTGAAAAAAGTTTGATTATTTCTAGTAACCAACTCTGTTTTCTTATGTATCATCTATAGCTAGGGGTTATTTGTGATTCAAAAAAATGTCTATAGCACTTTATAATTTCTATATTAAACATATCTGTGTTATATCATTAGCCAGGAAATTAGTACTTTTTTATTAAAATTTTCTCTATTTTCAGGGTCATCCTAAAGTCTGTGAAAAATTAAAGGCTCTTATGGTTGAATGGACAGATGAATTTAAGAATGATCCACAGCTTAGTCTAATATCAGCAATGATTAAGAACCTTAAGGAACAAGGAGTTACATTTCCAGCTGTTGGCTCTCAGGTATTTTGTAAAGTTGCATTGTGTGCTAAGGTTTGTTTCTCTAAAGTAGCCACATTTATATGAGTTTTTCTTTTTTCCTCCAAACCCAGGTAGTTTTTACTTCTCCAAAGGAATTTTTGTTAATAATCTTGCATTCAGTGGTGCCAGAAAAATACAGGGGAATATTAATGTGTTCCAACTTCCATTTTCCCACTGTTTCTCCTTCCTTGTAAATAAATTAGATTAGCATTTTGCAATTTAAAAATTTTTTATGGAGTTTTTAATAATATAGTCAGAATTGCTTTATGATATCAGGTAGTACTGACAGTCTTCTTAAATACTCTTAGTGCTTTAATTTTATCTACAGAGAATGACAGCTTAAAAATCAGGATATCCTTGAAATTTAAGGATGAGTTTAGAGGTTCTTTTGATTATGAAATTTATGACTACTTGTATTAAAAATGAGACAGAGATAAGGGAGTCAATAAGGAGAGAAGCACACAAAGCATCTTTTCTCTTAATAAGAGCCGACCAGTACATAAATACGATTGAGTGAAAGGCTTAAATTTCCTTTCTGCCCCTCCCTCCCCCAATTTATGTATTGGGATCAATCTCTATGTCATCAAGAAAAAATTGAAGGGTATCTCTTTTATTTTATTTTATTTTATTTTCCCTATTCTGGGTAACCATCCTTTGGGATCACCAGCTAATCTAGGACGCTTAAAATGTGTGGTAATTTATTATACTGCCTTTCCCTACTGCGTGGATTGGGGTAGAATGGAACAAGTGGTGTGAAAGCATGCACAGAAAACTCTCAAGCTATGGAGGGCTCAAGTTCGGGGTTTTGACCATTTCAGAGAATCATGAAGTGATTCATGCAGACTTACCTAGATTTCTACCCAAAGCACTCTTTTAGTTTATCTGAATATTCTTGAGATGTCAAGATCCAGAAATATGTTTGGGAAATGAAGGAAGGAAAGGATATTTTTCTTCTTACTTGAAAAAATTTGGCTTATGAATGGTTTTACAATGATAAAATACATCTTTAAGAAGTATTTATTCATAATTCATAGCTGGCTTTTACTACTCAGAATATTTTCTAAAATCTGTATAATTAAGGAATAATTTTATGCAGAAAAATCCAAGATATCTTGTAAGTTCCTTGACAAGAGAGGCAATGTTTACTTATAAAAGGGTAGTCTCACTATAGAAAACCAAAAAGTATAGATGATTAGTGAGATTGCAGTTTCTATGCCCTGAGAAGCTATTCTAGAGCTTGTTACTTAAAATGTATTTTGTTGACCATCATCATCATCACATGGAAGCTTGTTAGAAATGCAGCATCTCAGGTGCCACTCAGACCTATGGATTCATTATCTCTATTTCAACAAGATTCCCAGATGATTCCATGTGCACGTTAAAGTTTGGGAAGCACTGCTCTTGAGTACAGCTTTACTGCTTTTCAGTCCACAAAGGGACTTGTTCCAATTAGAGAAGGAAGAAGAACTAATGATCTGTGTGATAATGTAGCTTTGTTTGGTTAACCTAGAATCTTAGATAGTTTGCGTGAACAACTTTAGGGATTCTCTAATCTAATCCCCTCATTTTACAGATGAGGAAACTGAGACCCAGAATGGTTAAGTGACTTCCCCAGGTCCACAGCTCATAGTTGACAGAGTTGGAACTAGAACGCAGGCCTCCTGACTCTCAGTCCAGTGTTCTTTCCACTACACGATCCTGCCTTCCGTTTGATATAGAGGTTAGTGGATATGTGTATGTTCAGACTAGGCTTCAAAGGACAAGAAGTGGAGTGAACACTGGCAAGAGCATTTATTTATTGACTGGTACAGAAAGAAGTTAGGTTACTCTCCTGTTCAAGAGGTTCAGGACATACATCAGCAATAGTAAAGTTAAGAGTTACTTTTCTTTTTTTTTGGCCGGATGTTATAAAATATATGAAAGCTAATTTTGTTGTAGTTACTATCTTCAGCCACAAGAAATATATAAAATGCATATAAAGTAAAGTATGATGAGGTAGAATGGTGATTTTTTTTTTAATAATGGTGTCTGATAGCTTATTGAAAACCATGTTTGTGAAGAACTTCGTATTTAATGAAAAATGTATCATGTAGGATCATCTACACAAGTCCTTCTAGATTTTAAGCTCAGTTGCTTAATCATTATTACATTTTAATCGGACCAGATCTTTGTCATCATACTTAACAAAAGCCTCTGAAAATATAAGGAATTTTTAAAGTATAATTTTTCATCCCAAGTACAGAAGAAAGTAATACAAAAATATTAAGAAAAGTCATACTTCAGTCAACTAACTCATTCTGCTGCAGTTCTTGTAGCACTAACTTTTGACATAGAGATAAAAGTAATGCTAGCACTGTGGCTATATTTGATTGATTAATAACAGGTATCTTTGCTACAATTAGAATCTGATGATAGGAAGGAATTTTGAAAAGTGTGCATTTCAGGAATATAGGACTTAATGTAGGTTATTTCTGTACTTCCTTCTCTCTTTTTTTTATTGAAGAATATTTGACAAAATATTTTGTTAGTTTTAGGTGTACAACATAATGATTCAGTGTTTATATACATTATGAAATGGTCACTTTAATAAGTCTAGTTACCATCTTTACAGAGTTGTTAAAATATTATTGATTCTCTGTGCTGTACATTATATCCCCCTCCCTCATCTTACTTATTTTATAACTGGAAGATTGTATCTCTTAGTCCCCCTCACCTGTTTTGTCCATCCCCTTCACCTCCCTACTGTTCTGGCAGTCATAGGTTTCTTTTCCGTATCTGAGTCTGTTTCTGTTTTGTTTTTTAGATTCCACATAAAAGTGAAATCATACCATGTGTTTTTCTCTGTTTGACTTATTTCACTTAGCATTATATCCTCTAAGTTCATCCATGTTGCCGCAAGTGGCAAGATTTTATTCTTCTGTTATGGCTGAGTAATTGTGTGTGTCTGTGCGTGCGAACATGTATACCACGTCTTCTTTATCCATTCATCTATTGATGGACATTTAGGTTGTTTCTAGTCTTGGCTCTTGTACTGCAGTGAACACAGGGGTGCAGATATCTTTTTGGGATTAGTGTTTTTTTTGTCCTTTGGTTAAAAACATTTTTCAGATAAAAACCAGAATTGCTGAATTTTATGATAGTTCTATTTTTAATTTATTGAGGAGGAACCTGCAATAGTGTCTGTACCGGTTTACACTCCCACCAACAATGCAAGGGTTCCTTTTCCTCCACATCCTTGCCAACACTTGTAATTTTTTTTTTGATACTAGCCATTCTGTCACAGGTGAAGTAATTATCTCATTATGGTCCTGATTTGCATTTCCCTGATTGTTAGTGAATATCTTTTCATGTGCCTGTTGGTCACCTGAATATCGTCTTTGGGGAAATGTCTATTTAGGTCCTCTTTCTATTTTTAGATTATATTACTTATTTTTATAATACTGAGTTATATGAGCTTTTTAGTATGTTTTGGATGTTAACCTGTTATCGGATATATCATTTATGAATATTTTTTCCCATTCAGTAGGTTGCCATTTTGTTTTGTTGATGTTTCCCTTTGCTGTGCAAAAGCTTCTTAGTTTGATGTAGTCCCATTTGTCTATTTTTGCTTTTGTTGTCCTTGCCTGAGGAGATAGATCCAAAAAAATATTGATAAGACTGATGTCAGAGAGCTTACTGCCTATGTTTTCTTCTAGGAGTTGTATGGTTTCGGGCTTACATTTAAGTCTTTATTTTATTGTATTTTTGAAGATTTTATTTATTTGACAGAGAGAGACACAGCGAGAGAGGGAACACAAGCAGGGGGAGTGGGAGAGGGAAAAGCAGGCTTCCCGCTGAGCAGGGAGCC